AGCTCCGGCAGCGAGCGGCGTCTCCGGCAGCGCTCAGCAGCGGCGCCAAGCAGCAGCAGCGGCTGAGCCAACAGGCGGCCGCGGAGGCACGCCCCCCCCCCCTTTGCACATTGTTCGTCCATGGAGATGTCTGCAAGCACGCCTATTGTTGAGAAGGCACGTGCATCCATGGCTGAGCACTGAGCAGGCACGTGCGACCCCTTTGCACATTGTTCATCCATACATATCAATATAATTTACCTTATGATTAGTGTGAGTCTTACAAAATCTTAAACTCAGAAATACCACAAGGCAGGCTGCCTGGGTGAGTTGCTAATATGAACATAATGAACATTATACATTAGTGCAGTACCTATAAGCATCCATGCTGTGTGAAGGACTTGGCCCTCACGTTCATTCGTTTGGTGATTGCACATGGTGGCATGTGTACCAATTGTTCTCCCTAACCCTTCTTACAACTTTGACTAGCAAGTAGAAGCTGGCAAAATGCAAGGAGCTTACAAAGCATGCCTATATGTAGATAACTGAGGATGATTCTCTCAATTGAAGCATGATCCGCAGTCCGCACTCAGCAGCTTCTTCTGTTCTGTTCCACAAACTAAAACTGAAATGCCTCAATTTTCCTCAAAATATATTCATTTATCACTCATAAACAACAAAAATATACATTAAGAAGGTACCAGGGCAATAAAAAACATACAAGTTACATATTTTTTCATGTACCGTCCTTTCACAGCAGCAAATATGTAGAAACGCACCAAGACGTTCACGGAGAGCCCACCCATAACAAACTATAGTTGAAGCCGGGGCTCTGCTGCAGCAGCAGGGGAGACGTACAGGACACAGAGGTCATGTCACAACATCATGTTGTACAACCTGTTGTTCGAAAAAACAGATCAACATAGATCTTGAAAAACTGTAGGTAGAGCTTTCTTCAGTCACTTAGGTAAGCTTTCTCGCAAGACGTTACATTAGATTGACCACTCTTGACAAAATAATCAGATTGAAACTTAGCTCGTGTGCCTGATGCACTTACATTTCAATTTATTGAAATAAAACACTCAAATTTACCCTTGAAAATTGTTGACATTTAAATGATATTAATCAAGATTTGATGATCAGCAAACAAGCTCAAGCTATTCAAATCACACCCAAATCAAAATAATAACTTTGGCAATGTTGATAACTCCTGCTGTCTTATTGAAAAGCAAATCTTCAATTTGTTCATATCCAAATTCAATGCCAAGCACTGAAATCTTGTTGCAAGGCCCTAAAAACAACAGACAAAAACAAAACAGACAAGGCCCGTCTTGTGGAAATCGACAGTGCGGTGCGGCGGCCTTGGCGAAATTTCCCAAGGCTGCTCTTTGTTTACATTTTAGTGATGGGCCAACTTGGCCGCCCAAGTACTTGTTTTGCGTGAGTAAGTACAATTTTGTCAATTTTGAAACGGCTATATCTCGCAAATTTTGGTACCGATTTACATTTTATGCATATATTTAGAATCGGCAGAGTCTGGGGAGTTCATTGATTGGAAATTTATTCCGATTCCTTTCAATTTTTAAACCCTGATAATCCCTTTAACCCGCGCCCTGCTGGGGGGGGGGGGGGTGTTTGAACACCCCCCTTGTGGTTTTTCGCGAATATCTCAAAAACGGCGGCGCGGAGCGCCGTCGTTTTTGGTACACCTTATTACACATCAATTCTACACATGTTGTGAAAATTTCAGACCAAGGTCATTCAAGGTCAGGTCACCAGGTCACTTGAAGTGACCTCACCTCATAAAAAGTTTCAATGTCTGTCATAGCTACACCGAGTGACCGATCGCTTTGAAACTTTCAGCGATTGCTAAGAGCAATAGCATGTACAAAATGTATATCTCAGAATTTTGATATCGATGACCTAAGGTCAGGTCAATTTTGCGACCTTCCCATTATAAGTCAATGGGAGAAAATTGAAATGCGCCTCTTTTGGACGAAAGACATTATAAACACTCCCAAACACTGAATTACAAGTGGTTTAGACACACTGAACTTGAAAATGGTGTCCGTGACCCCTGTTTATGCCCTGAGGTCATCTTAGGTCACGAATGGTATCTAACAGTTTTTCGCAAATAACTTTTGATAGAGGCATGCTAGAGCGATGAAAACGCCTTAGATGTGTTCAGCTCGACGATACGGATTGACTGATATGCAACATGACCCTTTCCGGTCAGGTCATGACCTTGACCTGAGGTCAAATTTTCAAGTTGACCTTTCAAGGTCAAGTTATAGTTCATTCGATGCGTCTTGACGAGAGGAACACGATGCCGGTAAAAGTAAGCTCGTACAAGGCTTGGGTCAAAAGTTATTGCAGAAAAACTGTTTCCAAAAAAATCGGCTATTTTTGCAGTTTTTGCCCCCTGCAGGCAAAACCGTTGACGTTAGGTCAAATCTGAGAGAATTACTCAGAAAGGGCGTTAATGGGGCTATCGAATGCGCTTTTCCGCGGCGCTGTAGCTCTATTGGTTCCCGAGTTATGCGTTGGCTTTTTGGAAATTTTCGATATTCGAACTGGAAATCGGCGAAATTTTGCCTTCAATGACCTCTGGTGACCTGACCTTTGACCTGACCAAAAATTGACCGAAGTGATTTCGTCATTATTTTTAACGCTCTTTCGAACGCCGCCTTCCGCGTATCGCTACGTGGCCCAGGAGCCGAGTTAGAAGGGGGGGTGTTCAAACACCCCCCCCCCCCAGCAGGGCGTGGAAATCCAGGACCCCCAGCCGGGCGCGGGTTAAGGTCACTTTTATGTTCTTTAAGTCCCGTTTCGACCCCCCTCCCCGTTTCTCCCACGTAGCTTTTGTTACACCCACCACAAGGAATTTCGTATACTACACTTTTCGGAGAATCGGATGTGTCGGACGTCTCTTTCGGTCTTCGTTTAATCATCTCGTGTATCTTCGTTCCCGTGTTCGTTGCTACTCGTACGCCTGTCTTCTCCAGTGATTTGGAAATAACCTCCGCGCTGTTGAAGTTTGCAATCGATATCCATTTTCTCTTTTCCTTCCTTGATCTTTTTCCTTTTGTTTTGGGTTCTTCTTTATTCGTTCAGCCTTTTGCTTTTGCCGAATGAGATACCCCTTCGGGTATTTCAGTTTCGTGAAGCGTCGTAAATATGTTTAATCTCTTCGTCCAGGAACTCCTCATCACAAATTCTCATCGCTCGTAAAAAGAAACCTATAACTACATCACTTTTCACACGTTCACTGTGGCCAGAGTAAAAATGAACATAATCTTCTTTGTTGGTTGGCTTTCATGTACCTGAAATTTGAAACCTGTCTCTGTTCTGATGATGCACGTGTCTAACCGGAGCCGGATCATTTTACTCGGAGCCGGAGCCGGAGCCGCCATGACATTTCACCCGGAGCCGGAGCCGGAGCCGATTTTTTTCTCCGGAGCCGGAGCCGGAGCCGGAGCCGTCTGAAATTTCAACGGCTCCGCATTCCTGATAATAAGGTATTCCAAAAACGGCGGAGCTCCACGCCGCTGTTTTTGTTTTGTATTGTTTTGTTTTTGGAGGGAGGACATTCACGAAAAACCGAGGTGGAGGTGTTCATATCTCCCTCCCCAGCAGGGCGCGGGTTAACCCGCTCCCCGCTGGGCTATTCAGCCATACGCGCCCTGCTGGGGGGGGGGGGGGCAGATTCTGCCCCCGTGTCTAACTTCCGAACCGATGGTCGTAGAAAGACGGGGAAAACGGCAATCGAAAGCTCTCAACAAGGCGGATCTAAAGAGCCCAATGTTTTTGCTTAAGTAGGTCAGAGGTCAGGTCAAGGTCAGGTCAAGGGTACAAAAATGCAAGTTTCTAAATCTACAGTATCGGCCTTGCACCGTAGTTGCCGAAGAATGGACTGAGACTGATTGCCCAAAACGTGTTCTTAGACTACCAAGACAGTATTCTTTGCATACAATGTCATTCAAAGGTCAAGGTCAAGGTCAGGTCAGGTCAGGTCAGGTCACCAAAAACAAAATATAGAAAAGGGCATGTGCGACACATGTTTTATGGGTTATTTTACTCATAGAATTCAATAGGCACACTCAATAAAAGATATGGACCACCTCTGGATGAATTTCAGGTCGAGGTCAGGTCAAGGTTAGGTCAAGTGAGGTCAACTTTTGAAGTTGGTTGTTAAGGCCTAAAAAGGTGTCTATCTGATGCAGTTTTTCACGTCTAATCGAATGGTGCTATTTTTGTTTCCGTACGAGGTCTAGAACTTCAAAAAAAATCATTTTTCAAAATTTGTGTGTCGTGACGTCATAAAATTTTGAATTTCTCCCACATTTTTGAACCGATTCTTCTAAAAATTGGTATGTAGGTGCACATAGACCACTTCTCTGACACATATTCCGGGTTTTTTTCGATACACTCAAAATTTTGGATTTCATAATTATTTTCCCAAAAAAGTCAGTTTTTTGAAGAAAACAAAATTGGGCCAAAATCCAAGTATCAAAAATCCGAGAGAGCCAAAGTAGAATCACGTATAACATTTTTTGGTTCGTCTTGATTCCTTTAAAATGAAGATGTTAGCGGCGTTTGAAATTTTGCCGTTTTTGAGGCGAAAATGGCGAACATGACGTCACTAAAACGTCAATTTCTCACAAATTTTCCGACCGATTTCACTCAAATTTTCAGGGAAAGTGTCCAATTGATGTATGATAAGGTACTGAAAGTTTGACGTCGCTGTCTTAACGCGTTTAGAAGTTATTGGCGAAAAACGGGAGGGGGCAGATTCTGCCCCCCCTCCCCAGCAGGGCGCGGGTTAAACACTGCAGCCGGAGGCTGCTGAAGGTAACGTCATCACGTGACGGAACACTGCTACGACTATAACATAGGAAGGGGCAGGGGCACTATAACTTGGAGAAGGGGCAGGGGCACTATAACTTGGAGAAGGAGCAGGCCCGTGTCACAAGGCAGGGAGAAGGGGCAGGCCCGCGTATCACAAGGCAGGCAGTGCTCACCTCTTTCTGAGCAGCAAACTGAGGAACGCTATGACCACCCAGCGGGACGTCATGCCGTTGGGCGGCCGCCCACTTACGGGCGCATGGCGCGGCCGTTCACAGGGTCACCGAGTTACCGCGTCACTGCGTCACTGACGTTACTGCACGCGCTGCAACACCACCGGCCGCCGCCGCGCCAGCCGCCCGCACCCCGTCAGTTGGCGTCGCCGCCGCCGCCGCCGCCACGGCCGCCTCACGGGCAATCGATTGGCATAACGGCAGTTCTAGTGGTGGCCACCAGGGCGGTACCACCGTCTATTGTGGAAGTCTGGCGCGGTGGGCGATAGGTGGCGCTGGTGGCGCCAGGGTGCAACTGTGCTTTTGAGGCTGCTCTTGCAACCTCATTAGTCATTCGTAGGTGAAAGTGGGACACATTCGTGCAAAAAATGGATCATAGACCTCTGTACACCGTTGTACAGAGGTCTATGAATGGATGAATCCAAATTCCTGTTCTTTGGTTGCTGCAATGACAGACAGACAGACAGACATGCAATTATAATGGTATAATCATGCAGTGGCGGTAGCAGAAAGGCGGGGGGGCGGCATCAGGGCCATGCCCCCCCAAAAAAAGCAAATCAGGGGAACCATCATGGTTAATGGGGCAGCCATTAACCAATCTGCCCTGTGATTGGTTCAGGCTGCTAATTAAACGTAACATAGTTTGCCATTCCCGGTCAGAATGGGCGACGCCCAGAAGAGAACAGTGATTTGGTTCATGTATTGCAGAAAAAATGCACCAAACGTTATTCACGAAAAGCTAGTGCCAACACATGTTGAGGTTTGTCTTTCTTACAGTAGCGTCAAAAAGTGGGCATCTCTGTTCAACTTTGGTCAACAGATTATTAATGGTCACCCCCGCAGTGGCCAACCATCAGCAGCATTGACTCGAAAGAAAATATGAAAAATAAGCACTTCTTTGTGAAAAATGACAAATGTCCTGGTATGGAACAACGCAGCAGAAGCAGAGGTGTCTATCAGGTTCCTCAAAGCCATTCTTCAACAGCGTATTAGTATGTTTAAGATCTCTGCAAGATGCATCCCCGTTTGCTGGCTCCAGAGGAAAGGCAAACTCGAAAGGAGGCGTAACGCGAAAATGTTGGCCCCTATATCGAAGATCCAAAAAAGGTCATTGAACTACTTGTTACCGAGGAGGGATTGTGGGTGTCACGTTGACCCTAAGGGTGTGACCGAGTTGCGCAAGTGGAAGCACACTGAGTAAAGGCAACCAAATGTGTGCGACGTGTTTAAGTCAGTCGGCAAGATGACAGTGGTTGCATTTGGGGGTGCTGACGGGACTCTGCTCTTCAACTTTCTAAAACAGAGGCGCTCAATTAATGATGAATACTACACCTCCCTTCGATAACAGTAGCGAGCAGCAGATATCGAGGAGAGACTAGGGAAGCTGACTAAAAGTGTGCGCCTGATCCAGGACCACGCACCAGCACACATGAGCAGGGTGACGATCAGCGAAGCAGTAAGCTGTGTCTTCGAGTTGTTGTCACAGCCACTTTTTTCTCCGTACCTTGCACCCTCTGGTTGCTTGCACCCTTCCCCAACATAAAGAAATTGCTTAGCAGTGGCAACTTCGCTGACAGCAAGGAGACAAAAGCAGCCGTCTTGGACGTGCCAGATGGGTCCAAAACCCACTTGGCTACGGAGACCTTGGGGCCTCTCGCGAAGCGCTGCGCGAAATGTTTTTGTCTTAACGCTGGTTATTTGACTAAATGAACATTTTTGGTATAATAAGTCGACGTCGTATCTCTGCTCCTTCATGGTCAGGCCGAGAACTTTTTGAACGCCCCTCGTATGTCACAGATTGACACCGTCCCGGCCTGGCCAGGCGGGTCGCGGATGGTGAGCACAACAATGTTGTATGCTTATTTTTGCCGGCGTTTTTATGTGAATTATGTAAATAAAACCTTGAAAAAAAAATAGTTGTAGGCCTGCTGAATATATCCATCATCATAGACCTCTGTAAACATGGACTGGACACAGAAAATCGGCACATGACCACAACGGTCCTAAAAGTTAACGCTAATTGCTCGGGAACCATAGCACTTACGACATCCATTTTTTCACTCTTCGGTAGCTCCATTCATTAAAATTGCTGGGAACCTTGCGTTGCAGCAGTGGGGTGTGTTGGATGAGAGCCTGCACGTGGCGCGTGCGGGGTGTTTACGAAGTTGGTGTAGTGATATCTCTGGAACGGCTGGGCCGATTTCCTTCCAATTTGGCATGTAAGCAGATACTATGTAACCATCACTGACCCATACTCCCAAAATGGTGTAATGCTGCACGTGCGCACGTGCGCACCCCTTTTCTATATCTCATAAACTAGCCGACGGATTTGGCTGAAATTTGGCATGCAGTCACATGCTGAACCGTCAATACTGGTGCGCAAGAAAAATACGAGGTACATACATATGCACGTGCGCACCCTTTGCTGTATCTCAGAAACTAGCCGACGGATTGACTGAAATTCGGCATGCAGTCACATACTGAACCGTCCATACTAGCGCCGCAATAAAAATGAGAGGTGTCGATGCACGTGCGCACGTGCACCGTGCTCACACTATTTTTATCTCAGAAACTAGACGATGGATTTGGCTGAATTTCGATATGCAGTCACATACTGAACCGTCCATACTAGCGCCGCAATAAAAATGTGAGGTGTCGATGCAATTGCAAGTGCATCCATTTTTTCTATATCTCAGAAACTAGCCGACGGATTTGACTGAAATTCGGTATGCAGTCACATACTAAACCATCCCTACCTAGTACACCACTTTACGGCCAATTATAGACATAGCGCATATAATTCGGTAATAGTGTGACCAATTTCGACAGTACGGCAAAGTGCATCGATAGTTCGGCAGAGTGCAGGCTATTCAGACATAGCGCGTAATATTCAGATACAGTGAATCCAATTTTAGAAACAGTGCATTTAGATTCCGTAGTGTGTGGTTAGAAACGTTTGCACTGGTGTTATTTATGCTGGCGCTACGCCGAAATAGGCAGTGATGAAAATCGTGTACCGATTCAATATATGAACACACTAAAGCCGAACAACTGAAATTGTCTGCACAACTTCTGAATTTCGTGCAGTGCCGCCTAAATTGGCCGTAAAAAGGTGTAGTGTGCAAAAAGAACGTGAGGTGTCGATGTACGTGCGCACGTGTGCACTCCTTTGCTGTATTCAGAAACTAACCTTACGATTGGACTGCAATTTTGCATGCAGTCCGTTGTCGAATTGCCTAAGTCATACCACACTTCATAATTGTATCGACGCGCCAGCTGGCGATAAAACAGACCAACAATAATTCGTGTCGTATATGTCACATGCCACTGCATTTCAAGTACCTACGAGTACATGTTGCATCATTACATATTACTGCGTCCCAAGACAACATGGTAGTTACCAAGCGATTGCCATCACAATCGCAGCCTCTGGTAAGTACCGATATTATACATACTATTCAATATACATATGTTTGACAGACCAAATACACTATTCGCACGCAGTACACCATATAACGCAAGACATGCCATGACAATACACATAACACAAGACAAGACATTCTAATGCGAGCGACAGCATGGGTCCCGTCCGGTCAAGATGAGACGGAAAGGTCGTTATTCGCATTTGCTACACAACATTGGATATAATAAATGATACATAACTCTAAGCATCATCCCTAACAAGTCAGATTTACAACACATCTTCAATACCTAAAAGGGCGCCGAAATGAGGACTGAGTTCAGCTCACTGCTAACTTCTTCGCACTACTTCTTCGCACTGCTGAGTTTCCTTATCTTTTACTTCGATCTCGCGTGTTCACTGGACTTGTCGTTCTTTTCTTGCTTGAATGGATAGCACTGTTCATCTCAGTAGCGTAGTTCGAGGTGAACACATTGAACAGTGCGCTTGCCATCCGGCCATAAACTTCCAGGAAGGCATGACCGCTCGCGCATCGGAGGCTGGTCAGGCTGCTGTCCTGTTGACCTATGGTGGTCATGACTCGCTGGAATGCTGAACGCGGTTGGGAGCAGCCAAGGAGAGCACGTCGAGAAGTCTCATTCTGCATCAGCCACCTGCGAACGGAGAAACACCACCATATAGTGAGTGTAGGGTGCACGGGCTAAAGTCACTGAATATCACAAACTTGATGTTTCCTAACTTAACCCGCGCCCTGCTGGGGGGGGGGGGTGTTTGAACACCCCCCTTGTGGTTTTTCGCGAATATCTCAAAAACGGCGGCGCGGAGCGCCGCCGTTTTTGGTACACCTTATTGTACATCAATTCTACACATGTTGTGAAAATTTCAGACCAAGGTCATTCAAGGTCAGGTCACCAGGTCACTTGAAGTGACCTCACCTCATAAACAGTTTCAATGTCTGTCATAGCTACACCGAGTGACCGATCGCTTTGAAACTTTCAGCGATTGCTAAGAGCAATAGCATGTACAAAATGTATATCTCAGAATTTTGATATCGATGACCTAAGGTCAGGTCAATTTTGCGACCTCCCCATTATAAGTCAATGGGAGAAAATTGAAATGCGCCTCTTTTGGACAAAAGACATTATAAACACTCCCAAACACCGAATTACAAGTGGTTCAGACACACTGAACATGAAAATGGTGTCAGTGACCCTTGTTTATGCCCTGAGGTCATCTTAGGTCACGAATGGTATCTAACAGTTTTTCGCAAATAACTTTTGACAGAGGCATGCTAGAGCGATGAAAACGCCTTTGATGTGTTCAGCTTGACGATACGGATCGACTGATATGCAACATGACCCTTTCCGGTCAGGTCATGACCTTGACCTGAGGTCAAATTTTCAAGTTGACATTTCAAGGTCAACTTATAGTTCATTCGATGCGTCTTGACGAGAGGAACACAATGCCGGTAAAAGTAAGCTCGTACAAGGCTTGAGTCAAAAGTTATTGCAGAAAAACTGTTTCCGAAAAAATCTGCTATTTTTGCAATTTTTGCCCCCTGCAGGCAAAACCGTTGACGTTAGGTCAAATCTGAGAGAATTGCTCAGAAAGGGCTTTAATAGGGCTATCGAATGCTCTTTTCCGCGGCGCTGTAACTTTATTGGTTCTCGAGTTATGCATTGGCTTCTTGGAAATTTTCGACATTCGACCTGGAAATCGGCGAAATTTTGCCTTCAATGACCTCTGGTGACCTGACCTTTGACCTGACCAAAAAATTGACCGAAGTGATTTCGTCATTATTTTTGACGCTCTTTCGAACGCCGCCTTCCGCGTATCGCTACGTAGCCCAGGAGCCGAGTTACAAGGGGGGGTGTTCAAACACCCCCCTCCCCCCCCAGCAGGGCGTGGAAATCCAGGACCCCCAGCCGGGCGCGGGTTAAAGCAAAACTAGTCCATAATTAAACCCACGGAAAATTTGGTAGTTACATCTAACAGCTGAAATGTAAAATTACCTGTACACGTGGCATATGTTCACTGATAGGTTGACAGCCAGCTCTGACGGACACAGCAGCCTTCCCCGGTTCAAGAGACTTGTGAATGTTCTCACAGCTTCATCCAGACCAGGGGCGTCAACTGTCTGGTGTCCGCCTTCTGTATCCAGGGAAATCTCTTTCAGCTCGCCCGGTTCCTTGTTGACCAGAATCGCGTGACAGGCATAACAATGTTTCGTCCTCATGACTGATCGGGCTAGGTAGCCGGCCACGTGGGCGATGGCTTGTTCTGCTCCCTCCGACAACGGTTCCTGCTCCGCACACGAAGCGTGCTCGACTAGAGTTTCGAGTTCGACCACCTCGGCGTCGTCGCGATGGCGCTGCTGACGGGCCTCTTCCATGACTGAAGCTACAGTGCCAAGACTGTAACCGGATAGCCAGACGAGGCCCTTAACCCTGATGACGGCTTCGCCTTCAAAGAACTGTCGTACGCTCGCCCAGAAGTTGCCGCCGGCCAACTTCCTAAGGTAGCCGAAGCGGCCCTCAATCTTGTCGGATTGAAACTTTCCGAGCAGAACGTAGTGGACCAAGTCACTGTGCTCCTCCAGCATGTAGTGGGATACGCCGACCAGACCTCTGCAAGTGTAGATGGCGGCTTGTGATGTGTCGGTGGACATCTTGGCCCCGCCCTTCCTGTCCTGCCAGACTTGGAGCATTGTTCCAAAGGCAGTGAGGTAGTCCAGCCCAAGGCTCTCCTCTTTCCTGGGCGGGGCTCTGAGAGGGTCATTCAGGCGCACATGTGTGAAAGCTGTCTTGACATTGACAACGCTGAACCACTTCCTCAGCATCTCCAGGAAATCAGCCGTCTGTCCAAAGTCACGATACTCCTCCTTCTGGCTGTAGAACCTGAGGGCTGCTACGGTTGACTCATGCGTTGCCGCCACGGCCAACTGAACGTTTACACGTTCGATACTTGTCGGGTTCAGCACTCGGTCTGTCAGGCGATAGGCCATCTTCGCCTCTTCTCCCATCTCCATCTTGTATAGCTGTTGTAGGTGCTTGTACTCGGCTGTCACTGTTGTCTCAGACTGTGGGAGGTTGCACATAAGAGTCTTCCTATTCAAGAGATTGAAGAAGTTCTTGTATAGATGTACACTGTCATACATGGTGTACACTCTTGCGCTGGGGTTGAAGGGGTTCGTTATATACTCCGGGTGGCATCCGTCTTCTCCCAGGGAGTTATGGAACCCCTGGTTCGTGCGGTGATTATCCGTCGTGCAGGAGATGACGACAAACCCTATCTCTGTCAAGGTTTTCAACACCGTGAAGAAGATGGTGCGAATGTCACTTGTGCTTATGCTACACACCGGAGACATCGAGACCATATCCTCGTATCTCCCGGCTACTGACGATATCATAGTGCAGAAGATGGTGCTGGCGACACCGTCGCCACTTTCGCCGTACACGCGCCCTCCCGCTAGTTCCACTGAGCGTGCGACGTACACTTCGTCCATAGACAAGTTCACGATGCGTTCTCTGTCGCTTAGTTCGGCAATTCTCATCTTGAGATATGTCACGGTGCCGATGTCGATGCCTTCCCGCACGCTGAGCGCAGAGATGAGTCGCCGGAGGGTTTTCCGGTGTGGGAGGAGTAGGACATCGGAGCGGCACATATCTTCATACAGATTTGGGCTCGTTCTGTCCCAAACCACAGCCAAACTCAGCAGCGCCTGACTATAGCGCCGTCTGTTTGCAGGCGCTGTTGCTAGGCGCAGTTGCTCCGCCGCAAACTGACAGACCGTGGACTCTCCATTGCTGCCACTTTCTGCTGCCCGGTCTAGGTGGTTGGCTGCAGAAGTCATCATATAGGTGGCACTGATGTCGAGTGACTTCAGGCGAGCCAGAACATTGAGCACCTCGGATGTTCGCTCAAAATGTCCGGGTCTGGCCGTCAGTCCCGCGGCGTGGTTGACAGGTAGTTCTGCACCCGCTAGGTGCATTCGGAACTGCAAGTCTTCGTAAATGGTCAGGTTTCTGATGATCATAGAAAGTCCCAGTGTCTCATCCAGCTCTTCCAGTCTTACACTGAGAACGTCACAACGCTCGTCTGATGTAGTCATCCTCAGTATGATAAATCCGGTGGGCAGCTTTTCTTTCTCCAGTTTGTCGTACATATCCTCGAGAGTGGAGAAGCTCTCAGCCTCCAGCATGTCGGCGCATAGCTGCTCAATCTGCTGCTCCTCTGCTTGGCGCCTCGCTGAGGCGGTTGCCAGCACCGTTGTTCGTAGAACAGCATCGTGCGATGATGTACTGTAACAGATAAAAAATGAATGTCAGGCAACATTGTGAATGAATTATCAACTAGCGGGTATCATTATTCATTGGCCACTGACCTGTAATTTACATTATTTTTCATTTTACTTTCTTTAAAAAAAAAAAAATATGTGCTGCTCTTAGAAAATATTATCTCAGGCTTATGCGTCTGTTACATCATATTAAAAAAAAATCATGGGAAAATCTATTATAGGTTATTTTACTTTTTGCCTCCATTTTTATATTGTTTATTTATTTTTATTTTTAAATAAATTTTGTCCGAATGTTTGAATGGGTGGATTTGCGAGATCAGGTCCCGCAATAAGCATAGCTTGTGCTGACCCCGACCCCACCACCCGATCGCGCAATTCCAGTTCTATGGCAGAATTTAGTTCGAACGATGTGCCTTCTATCTGACACGGTCCCCTCCGCTCATTTGCGCCACCTGGCTCTGTGCGGCCCCTGTCACGGGTGCGCACGCCATCACGCGCTGGAGCTAAACGTGGCCGCCCGGCGCCGGGGCTTGAACCGGGCTCTCACCACTGCACCGGTCATAGGCCTTGTGGCCTCGTGGAGGGACTCGAGCGTTAGGTACCAATAATTTTGCAATTTCAACATTATCGCTATCATGTTGCATGGTAAGAATCGCTTCAAGCCAGTCATCTTAGCGTTTCCATTAGTCACATATGTGTCTCTTTTCATAGGCCATGTCCATTGCTCCCGCGCCCCGTAGGGGGGGGGGCGAAACGGCCCCCCTGTCCTTTTCCGTCAATATCTCCTAACCGGCTGGAGATATCGCCACCAAACTTTCAGGACCCCTCCGGGCATCAATTTTACACATTGTGACCAAAACATTTTCCAGAGGCTATGATAGGTTGGCCACAAATGACGTCAGAATGACGTCATGTTCTGTCATTTTCGACCGAAAAAAAGACCTTCGCGAGAAGACCTGTCAGGCCTACAGCTTTAAAGATACAGAAAAATGATCAAAACAAAAAAGATGTAGAATTGACAGAACTACAAAACTGCTGTCTCGAATTTTTGAAATTTTTGAGTTTTGACCCCCAAAAATCAAAAAAGCATTTTTTTATATTAGCCAAAAAATCCAATAAGTTTTTGAGTTTCGAAAAAAAACGGAATATATGTGATAGCAACTACCGTCTTCTATCTACATATCAAATTTCAGATCGATGCCTCGTTTTTTGGCCAAGTTATAGCGTAAAAAAACTGTTCAAAAATGATGACGTCAAATTTTCAAACCCAATTTTTGGCAATTCTAGACCTGGTACAGCAAAACAAAGACCACCATTAGACTCCCCGTGACGAGCTGCATCGAATCGATACCCATTTTGTGCAAAAATATCAACTTTGAAATTTGACCTTATTTGACCTGACCTTGACCTGACCTTTACCAAAACGTGACCTAGGCTGGCCCCAAAGGCTGCCTAACCTACATAATCGCATTTGTCATGTAAAATGGACCATAAATCATGCATCACACGACACTTCCATATTGTGACCCCCGGTGACCTGACCTCGCTGTGACCTGACCTGGTATCAGTGACCTCAGATAGCAAAGTATGTGTTTGACGAACAATGCACTATCGATGGTTTTCAATAAATTACCAATTTACTCGCTTTCACAACACATTTCTTGAAATGCCTGTGAACGGTGAAAATCCGACCTTTGACCTGACCTGTGACGTCATCGGTTTGACCTAGGTCAATGAAATTTGGTTACAAGGTAGTTCCCGAGTGGGGCTATCGAACCCCGTTTGAATTTTGAAAATCGGCCGGTAAATTTCCGAGATCTTAGGGGGGCCGAAACGCCCCCCCCCCTACGGGTAGTAGGGTCCGCCGGTAGCCCTACGGGGTGCGGGTTAAAGGCCATGTAGAGAACAGTCATGCGGCGCAGCCTAACTTTACGGCGTACGGCGTTGCTGCCATCTAGCGATATGTTTAACCGTCATGCGGCGCAGCCTAGCTTTCCGGCGCAAGTCACTAGCGTCATCTAGCGAGGGAAATTGGGGTGGTGCGAAACCCTCGTCATTTCGTTCCTCATGGAGCTAGAATGTCGCGAAAAAACACGCGTGTCGGGCGTGACGAGCCCTTTTCGATTAACTCTCACACAGGCAGGGGGATGACCCCTCCCCAGAGTTTTTTTTGCGATAGCTTCCGAACGGTATGGCGGATCGGGATAAGATTTGGCAATTGCTATGGTGTCATCAGGGTGACGGCGCGTGACTTTAGCATTGTGGGCGCTAAATGTCCAAGCTAAAGGCTTAAAAGACACCGTACCAAACCTAGAATTGCATGGGAACACGTTGGTGAAGGTTTCATGTCGAAATGTTTCATAGTTTTCTTAAAATCGGCTTGCAAAGTTGAAAAGTGCCGATTTCGCGAAAATTTGATTTTTGAACTGCCATAACTAGGTCGGATGTTGACCTAGGGTAAAATATTGGATACCATCGTGTAGTACTCGTCGAGGTGCACACGCTCGATTTTCCTTCGAAGCTCTACTACCTTCCGTTTCGAAACGCCAGGGGGTCGTAACACCCCCTGCCTGATCGTGTTATGAGTAATGACTTGCCTGTGCGAGGGTAAGACATTGTCGACTCAATTTAGTTCATGTTCAGTAAGCAATGTTAAGATCATCAGCTTGTTTTCGTATATGAATGTAAGTACTCACGATTGGTTAAAGATGGATGGAATGGCTCCTTTCTTCAAACACTTCCTCTTCCGTTCGCTCTTCCTGCGGGTTTCCTGGTAGAAATCGTCTTCTTGGAAATGAAGTTCGCATATTCCACAATGGTCGGGGTTCCAATTTGTATCCCTTCGTCGTAATGCAGACACCCATTCTGCCCGTAATTCATTGTCTTTGGGAAAACTGAAGACGGATAGAGTTTGCAGAACAGTGCCGTTAGCTTTCTCCTTCTTTGTGGGCGCATATCCTGAGCGACAAAGGTACGCAGCACATTTCACCATGTCGCAGCACATTTCACCATATCACCAACTTCACATGCTAAATAATAACGAAAATATCACATAATGGGTCGAATTATTTCCTAAATTTGCAGCAAAACTTCTTCCTAGCACTAAACAGCAAACCGTAACTTAGGTTTCGAACCTTATTACATACAGCTGCCGGACATTGGTCACGTGACCACATTTTCCGTTTGACCTTGAGTTGGCACCAGATTCTGTCGACAGATGTGGCGCAGCTTATTTTACTGCATTATTTTAGATACTAAATATTTAGACGTGCGGTGGTAAATTATTCCGTGCAAATAGTATTGAATCATCGTTGACATAGTTACCATTAAAACTTGAATAGCATCAATAAAATACAATTAAACTATTATTACTCTTCCATTGATTTTATTGTGTTTGCAGGCATAGGTAGAAACTGAAGAGCTGAGCCTGCAGCTTACAGTTGTTTTATACTTCTACAACTCTTAATGCATATATCAAGGCTACTGAGGGCTGCAAATTTCTTTCACATATCTTTAATAACTTATACCGTACCTTCATCAATCATTATCTGTAAGATTATTGCATCAATCATCACCAGACTTATTAGTTTTTTACATACCTATGCCCCGGCCGCGAGAGTGGGCGGGTACGACTCCCTCGCCCTAATTGAGCTAGCCTCGTGGGAAAAACAAGCATGTGTGCCGTTACGGGACCGGGGACGCAGCGATTGATGCACGGTTTAAAAGTCTCAGGTCAACTGGTGGCCTCTGAGGGTCAGGTCAAGTGCCCCGAGGGCCAAAATACGATTTCGGGTTTTGAGAAATAACTTTGCCAAAAAACGGCGCAGAGTCGCGATTTTAGTACCGCCATGTTTGTCATGCTCCGGTGCGTCAAATGGTACATACACTTTTGTTTGGGTGGGGTCAACATAAGGTGTTCACATCGGGTCAAAGTCAGGTCAGAGGCACTCAGGTCACGAAGTTGGTCGGAGGAGGTTATATCGTATATCATTCGATTCGGTAGGTCTTCCCGAGTCCATTGGCGACTATTCCGACTTGCCAGTTCAATTTCATCAGGAGTTATTTATGAAAAAAACTTGTGACCTTTGTGACGTCATAAATGACGTCTCGCTAGGTTAAAGATGCAAAAGTGAAGCATTGGACATTGCAAGAAGTGCATGAGATTGCGATTACATGTGCTTGAGCTAGGTTTAGATCATTCTCGGCGTCAAAATAACAGTTTCCATATTTTCCCCATTGACTTGTAATGGTGACGTCACGCGATCGGCCTGACCTCATGTGACCTCTAGGAGAAATCCGAGATATACAAGTTTTGAGACTTCTAGAGGATACTAGGTCCTGTAAGTATCATCTCGCTGTGACAGCTCCTCTGGCACCGAGGGCATTGCAAAGTTTCGGTATTTTTGGGACTATTGCAGAGGTTCACGTGTGACGTCATAAGTCAGTGATCTGACCTGAAACGGAAATGCAATTGGTTTCCAAAGATGCGTATGGAAGCAAAGATAAGGTGTGCCAAATAGCAGCCCTCTAGCTGTAAGTTGTTTTGAGCTATCGCCAAAAGTCGTGAGTGGAGCGCTACTGACTACTCCGGTCGGCCGCCGGGGGTTAGGAGGCGTGCAGGGTATCGGAAAACCACCTGGTACTTAGCGAATTTTGCCGATAAAAATACGTTTCTTATGCCGACTTATAGCCAAAAGACGACTGAATCTCAAACCAGTCGTATCCTTGCACTAAATGGCTTGGTAGACACGATAGGTCTGAAAAGAAAAGGTCCCATGTATTCTCTATGGGCGCCGCGAGGCCGTTGGCACCAGAGTTTCGGGAAGTGCCCTCGCCACAACCGCACGTGCAGATTTGGTCACGTGACCAAGCGCATTTGCCGCCACTGTATTTATAATTATACACTGTGCTTATTACCACCACGGTGACTATAAATATTACCAGGATTACCACCTTATTACTTTATCACGAATATCGATATTTACTTCTTGATTTACTTTTTTA